AAATAAAAAGAATACATATTGGAAAAGAGGTAAAACTGTGACTGTCTGCAGATGACGTGATACTATACATAATCTTAAAGATGCCACCAGAAAACTACTAGAGCTAATCAATGAATTTGGTAAAGTTGCAGGATACAAAAGTAATGCACAGAAATCTCTCTCATTCCTAGACACTAGCAATGCAAGACCAGAAAGAGAAATTAAGGAAACAATCCCATTCACCACTGCAACAAAAAGAATAAAATACCTAGGAATAAACCTACCTAAGGAGGTAAAAGACCTGTACTCAGAAAACTGTAAGACACTGATGAAAGAAATCAAAGATGACACAAACAGATGGACAGATACACCATGTTCTTGGATTGGAAGAATCAATACTGTGAAAATTACTATACTACCCAAAGCAATCTACAGATTCAATGCAATCCCTTTCAAATTACCAGTGGCATTTTTGTACAGAACTAGAACAAAAAGCCTTAAAATGTGTATGGAGACACAAAAGACCCTGAATAGCCAAAGCAGTCTTAAGGGAAAAAAACGGAGCTGGAGGAATCAGACTCCCTGACTTCAGACTATACTACAAAGCTACAGTAATCAAGACAATATGGTACTGGCACAAAGACAGAAATATAGATCAATGGAACAGGATAGAAAGCCCAGAGATAAACCCACGCAGCTATGGTCAACTAATCTATGACAAAGGAGGCAAAGATATACAATGGAGAAAAGACAGTCTCTTCAATAAGTGCTGCTGGGCAAACTGGACAGCTACATGTAAAAGAATGAAATCAGAACACGCCCCAACACCATACACAAAAATAAACTCAAAATGGATGACAGACCTAAATGTAAGACCAGACAGCATAAAACTCTTAGAGGAAAACATAGGAAGAACATTCTTTGACATAAATCACAGCAAGATCTTTTTTGATCCACCTCCTATAGAGTAATGGAAATATAAACAAAAATAAATGGGACCTATTGAAACTTCAAAGCTTTTGCACAGCAAAGGAAACTACAAACAAGACCAAAAGACAACCCTCAGAATGGGAGAAAATATTTGCAAACGAACCAACGGACAAAGGATTAATCTCCAAAATATATAAACAGCTCATGCAGCTCAATATTAAAAAAACAAACAACCCAATCAAAAAATGGGCAGAGACCTAAATAGACATTTCTCCAAAGAAGACATACAGATGGCCAAGAATCACATGAAAAGGTGCTCAACATCACTAATTGTTAGAGAAATGCAAATCAAAACTACAATGAGGTTATCACCTCACACCAGTTAGAATGGGCATCATCAGACAATCTACAAACAACAAATGCTGGACAGGGTGTGGACAAAAGGGAACCCTCTTGCACTGTTGGTGGGGATGTAAATTGATACAGCCACTATGGAGAACGTATGGAGGGTTCTTAGGAAACCTAAAATAGAATTATCATATGACCCAGCAATCCCACTCCTGGGTATATAACCAGAGAACACAGTAATTCAAAATGACACACGCACCCCAATGTTCATTGCAGCACTATTTACAATAGCCAAGACATGGAAGCAACCTAAATGCCCATCAACAGATGTATGGATAAAGAAAATGTGGTGCATATATACAATGGAATATTACTCAGCCATAAAAAGGAATGAAATTGGGTCATTTGTAGAGGAGTGGATGGATCTAGAGACTGTCCTTATTTTGAACATTAGTAAGTAGAAAAAAAATAATGTAGGGCTTCCCTGGTGGCGCAGTGGTTGAGAGTCCGCCTGCCGATGCAAGGAACACGGGTTCGTGCCCCAGTCCGGGAAGATCCCACATGCCGCGGAGCGGCTGGGCCCGTGAGCCATGGCCGCTAAGCCTGCGCGTCCGGAGCCTGTGCTCCGCAACGGGAGAGGCCACAACAGTGAGAGGCCCGCGTACCGAAAAAGAAAAAAAAAGATGTATTTTTCTTGCCTTTCCTGTACAAACTGTATATCAAGGTGATAAAGTAATTGAAGGAAAAATGCTAATAAATGTAGAAAGGAACAATAGAAAAAGAATCAGGTTGAGGTAAGGGGGTTGTTGTAGGGTAAGACAGTGTGTTTTATCAGTTAAAGTTATACACTGAAGATTTTAAGGCTGAAATTACATGATTGCTGAGATTTGCTTTTAGAATATTCCCCCCAGAGGAAAAATAGTATGTGGGATAAATACACGATGCAAGATGCTAATACATGTTGAAACTGATGATGAATGCTTGTGGAGACTCATTGTATTACTCTCTCTGCTTTCATTTTAAGGTTGAAATTTTCCAGAATAAGAAGTTCAAATATACATGGAGAGAGAGTTTATCTTACATATGGCCAAATTTTCTGCTGGAAACATTATTTTATAATCAGAAAGGAAGTGCCTGAGATACTTGTTCAGTATCTGAGACATACAGATTCTCACGCCCCACTGCAGACTTACTGGATCAGAATCCAAAGACGAGACATAAAAAAGACTGCTTTCTTACCACTTCCCCTATGCATCCACTGCAGCCCAGCACAAACCTGCACCCAGCGGTGAGATTAGATGACCCTACAGGCCTCATCCTGAGAGCCTAGGGCTCTTAGCCATCCCTAGACTGCACTACCTGTAGTTCTGAGAACAGTTTCAGCACAGTGGTTGGCGGGCGGTGCAGGGAGTCAAGCTACAGAGTGTGGAGGGGCCAGTACCCATAAGGGACAGGATACAGGGACAGGAACTTCTGCCTGGACACGGTAGCATGAGGGCAAGAAGGCATCAATAGACCTTTCCAGGATGAGAGAGACCTGGGCATATTTTAACGCTGAGGGCAAAAGCTGGTGGAGAGAAAGACTGAAGATAGGAGACCAATACTGGGGGCTCCAGCCCCACGATGGCAGGAGAACAGGGAAACCCCAAGTGGGAGAGGTTGTGTTTGGAGCAGGAGGGATGAGACAGCACTGGGCTAAGGATGTGGAAGTTGTAAGAGGGGCACCCATGATGATCTAGAGCTCGTCCAGTGCAATAGCCGTGAGCCACAAGAGCTGCTGAGCACTGGAAATGTGGCTGGTCTGAACTGAAACGTGCTGTGAAAAATAACACAACGGATTTTGAAAATTTAGTAAAAAGAAATCCAGTGCCAAATATCTAAATCATTTATAACACTGATTACATGTCAGATTGATAGTATTTTGAATATATTACAGTATATTATTAAAATGGATTTTATCTGTTTCTTTTTCGTTTTTTAATGGGACTCCTAAGGAATTGTTAATGGCATGACTGGCATGATACTTCTAGTGATCGATGCTGTTCTACAAGTTATGGAAACCAGAACAAGGAGAAAAAAATAAGCCCCACCAAAGAGCCCTATCTATCTCAAAAAATGAAACCCGTTTCTATTACCCCAGAATCTGCCTCATTCACACCAAGGTTTGGCCAAATTCATGAAAAAACTCCCTGCTCAGCCAGCTACTTAACAGCACAAACAGAATGACAGTGGACTGTGTACACAATTTGTTCTCAGACACCACTGACATACAGCAGTTAATTCGGTGATGATGCGCCCTTATCTGTGGATGAGGCCAGGCCCTCAAGGCCCTGCTGTGGGAAGGAAACCACCAACCAGCAAGCAATCCAGAGGAAGGTTCAGAGAAGGAGACAGACGGACAGACTGGCCTTGGCATTATCCACATTCAAAGGAGGGGAAACACGTGCTGAGGCAAGTCAGTCCTCCCCACCCCGAGCCACACAGGGCTCCTCAAAGGCCTCTGGGCTCAGGTCTGCGTGCATCCCCACCCTAGCCTGCACCCCGTCCACAGCCGGGGGTGGGCAGCGAGGTACTTTCTGGGTGCCGCCACCCGCTCCCTCAGTGGCTCCGGCATCCTTCCTTCCTCCCCCAACCAGCCTCCACTCTGCGGGATGTGCTTCGGGTGCTTTCCAGCCCGCAGGCCACCTTTCTGCTCCGGAAGGGAACGCAGCAGCCCGCGTGGGTGTTTGCCTGCGGGGTGTTATCTAAGATCAACACTGGCAGTTCCTGTCTCCAGGGCCGGGACTGAAGGAGGCCTCACATCTCAGTGGGGCCTGGTCACCATAGTCCGTTTGGGGTTTTGGGGGCCGGGGGGGCAGGGCGGGCCACGCTCTGAAAAAGCTGCAGGCCTTCTCTAGCATCTCCCCACCTGCTCCACCTTCAGCCCTTCTGAGCCCCAAGGCCAAGAGCCATCAGCTCAGGTGGCCCGCAAGGGCGAAGGCCTCCAGGTGACACACTTACATTCTGCTGGGACTGCGGGAGGATTCCGGCCCCCGCCCCAGTGCACTGGTGCTGAGAAGTTTTCCAGCTGGAGGTACTCAGTCCCCACATTCTACTGAGGGGCTCAGTCCAGCCCCTCCCGGGCACCCACTGTCCCTAGAGTCTCCACAAGGGTCCAGTGCCCCCTCTCGACCATCCCATTCAGGCGGTCATCGGATGACCAGCGTTCTGCTGGCTCCCCTGCCCCATCCCGTCGTGCTCAGGAGCCTGGCTAGGCGTCCGGGCACTGCCGCTGAGGGCTGCGTGGCTTTGGGGAAAGTGTGGTCCCTGTGGCATTCAGGTTTTCTCCCCGTGAAATAACGGTGCAGCCTCCCAGGTCTTTAAGGTCGTGTCCTGTCACTCCTCTGCTCAAAAGCCTTCCGTGGCCTCCCTCTTCCAGATCAGGCCCAAACTCCTTGGGCCCCCAGCTTCCAAACTGTGCTTATCCCAACCCCGTACCTCCTTCTAGGCCTTTTCTTACAACCCGCCCCATTGCCACCCTCCTCCGAGCACCCAGCCATCTCACTGGGGCCACAAACAGTCTGCACCCACGCCTGCTGTTCCCCCCAGCTCCTGCCCCTCTGCCTGCAGCGGTGCCCTCCCTTCAAAGCCCTGCTCCACTTCCGCCGCCTGGATCACGCAGCCCTTCCTACCCTCCCAGCCCGAGCCCAGCCAGAAGTGAGCTCCTCCTCTGAAACGCTAGAACGTCTACACAGACAACTCACCAAGCCCTTAGGAGTCACCACCTGGGCATCCTGTGGGATGAGCCGCTGCGGGCACGTAAGGAATCCCCCACGTGGTTGATGCGCTCTTCGTCCGCGAACATCTGACGTGGCAAAGGCTGGCCAGGGTACAAAAAACAGTTGTCACCTGCATGGTACTTGACAGGTTACAAAGGATTTCACACCCATCACCTCAGTTAATCCTCAAGCCCCTGTGAGAGGCAGCCGTGAGCAGGGGGACGCTCAGTGATCTGCGTAAGGCCAATCTGTGTGTGCTCACCTGTGGCAGCACCAGGTCCCGGCTCTCCTGCCCCCAGGGCACTCTGCTCCCTCTCAGAACCTGGCTGGGCGAGGGGAGAAAGGCCCGCACATTAAGAAAGACCAAGCTGAGCAGAGCCATCACCACCACCCA